AGCATTGAGCCATAAGAGTTAGAGGGATGTCAAACCAAATTAAACCTACAGTGTAAATGCACCCTGGTTGACTTTAGAGGAGAGAAAACAATGATATTCTGCTAAACAAATCATTTGAAATTCCACAGACCTTGAAAAACTACAATTCTCAGGATTCCATAACGTTGAGCTATGGAATCCTGAGTATTGTAGTTTGGTGCAGCACCAGCCCACTCTGGCAGAGAAGGCTAAAGACATTGTAAAACTACCCCTCCTGCAATTTGTTAACATTGAGCCATGGTAGTTAAAGGGATGTCAAACCAAATTAAACCTACAGTGTAAATGCGCCCTGGTTGACAAACCACATATGTACACAAACACACATATAACATATATACAAACATATAGAGAAATATGCACACACATATATGCACACACAAAACACATACACAGAAAGGGGGAAGGAAGGAAGGAAGGAAGGAAGGAAGGAAGGAAGGAAGGAAGGAAGGAAGGAAGGAAGGAAGGAAGGAAGGAAGGAGAGGAGAGGGAGGAAGAGAGAAAGGGAAGAAAGAGGGGGAAAAGGAGGGAGAGAGAGAAGGAAAGAAAGAAAGGTAGAGAAGGAAGGAAGGAGATAAGGAGGGAAAGAAAGAGGGGAAAAAGGAGGGAGGGAGAGAAGGAAAGAAAGAAAGGTAGAGAAGGAAGGAAGGAGAAAAGAGGAAAGGAAGGAGGGAGGAGAGAAGGAAAGAAAGAAAGTAGAGAAGGAAGGAAGGAGAGAAGGAACGAAAGAGAGAAAGAGGGAGGGAATGAAGGAAAGAAAGAGACAAGGAAGGATGGAACCAAAGAGCAAAGGAAGCGAGAAAAGAAACAGAGAAGGAAGAAAGAAGAAAGGAAAGAAAAAGAGGTAAGGAAGTAAAGAGGGAGGGAAGGAAGGAAGGAGAGAAAGAAAGGAGAGAAAGAAGGAGGGAAGGTTGGCTACAGCAATGTGTGGCAGGTACAGCTAATATATATATAATATTTTGTCGAAGGCTTTCATGGCCAAGATCACTGGGTTGTTGTAGGTTTTTTTCGGGCTGTATGGCCATGTACTAGAGGCATTCTCTCCTGACGTTTCGCCTGCATCTATGGCAAGCATCCTCAGAGGTAGTGAGGTCTGTTGGAACTAGGAAAAGGGTTTATATATCTGTGGAATGACCAGGGTGGGACAGAGGACTCTTGTCTGCTGGAGCTAGGTGTGAATGTTTCAACTGACCACCTTGATTAGCATATAATGGCCTGACAGTGCCTCGAGCAAACTTTTGTTGAGAGGTGATTAGATGTCCTTGTTTACATATATAATATTTTTATATAATATTTTTTCTTTTCTTTTTTCCTTCAGAGCTACATAAGTAAACAAAGCCCACCTGCCTAAAACAGCTGGCAAAAATATATATCAGCAAAATGTTTCTTTCTAACACAGCAAAAAAAAAAAACAAGCATTACAATATGAATGTCATCCAGAGGACTCCTGAAACTATATTTTTTCCTGCAATTTTTCAATAAGATCTGCAATAGTTTTTAGTGGTACTGGTGGACACCCTAAAAACACTAAATATAGCAAACCTGGATTTCCAAGGCCAAAGCTGAAAATTAAAAATAATAATAATAATCCTGGGAGTTGTAGGTGAGGCACCAAAACTTCCCACAAGGCTCACAACATGTTTCCAACTCTGTGGTTCCTCCTCAAGATTCCTGCTCCTTCCCAGAAGATGCGGATGCTTTTCCTTCCAAAAGGAAATGTATATTTTTGCCAAATCTCTCTCTGAAAGTGTTAGATCAGGGGTGGAAAGATGGATCAGAAAGGGACCCATATTTGGCATAAAATGGCAGCAGAAAGAGGGGAGAAATCAATCATCTTTCCCTTGTGCAAAAGGTCATGGGGGCAGGAAGATGGTCTCAAAAATATTTGGGGGGGGGGGTCCCTTTTAAAGGGCCTTTTTGAAGGAAGAAGATAATGCAGAGTGCAAAGGAAGGGTTTGTACTGTAGTTCAACTTGGTTGCCTGCCAGATCTTGTAAACACAGCCAATTATTTGAAAGGACTTTTGGACAAATGCCTTCAACAATGAGGTCAGTGGGAAAGTGCAGATTTTGCTGGGAAAAAACTCTATCTGGTGTTATCAAAGACCCCCAACCCCACCCCACATAAAAAGGAGACATCGTTCCATCTCCAGGAAGTTATAGTTTCCCAGGACGGAGGGCCAAATGAATGGCAATGGCCACCGTCCTTTTTCCTATGCGAATATGCAAGTGAGAGAAGGGGACAAATTGAAACCGATAAGGCAAATAACCTTTCCTACCTCATACTCAACATCGGCCCTCTTTCCCTCTAAAACAGTGTTTCTCAACCTGGGGGTCGGGACCCCTATGGGGGTCGCGAGGGGGTGTCAGAGGGGTCGCCGAAGGCCATCAGAAAATACAGTATTTTCTGTTGTCATGGGGGTTCTGTGTGGGAAGTTTGGCTCAATTCTATCATTGGTGGGGTTCAGAATGCTCTTTGATTGTAGATAAACTATAAATCCCAGCAGCTACAACTCCCAAATGTCAAAGTCTATTTTCCCCAAACTCCACCAGTGTTCACATTTGGGCATATTGAGTATTCATGCCAAGTTTGGTCCAGATCTGTAATTGTTTTAGTCCACGGTGCTCTCTGGATGTAGAACTACAACTCCCAAACTTACGGACAATGCCCAACAAACCCTTTCAGTAATTTCTGTTGGTCATGGAAGTTCTGTGTGCCAAGTATGGTTCAGTTCCATCATTGGTGGAGCTCCCAAATGACAAAATCAACCCCTCCCCAAACCCCACCAGTATTCCAATTTGGGCGTATTGGGTATTTGTTCCTAATTTGGTCCAGTGAATAAAAATACATCCTGGATATCTGATATTTACATTACAATTAATAACGGTAGCAAAATTACAGTTATGAAATAACATCAAAAATAATTTTATGGCGGTCGCCACAACATGAGGAACTGTATTAAGGGGTCGCGGCATTAGGAAGGTTGAGAAACACTGATCTAAAAGCCTATACCAAAAACACCACATAAACTATCATCCATATTTTTATATTTATTATTATTATATGAACTATATGAAATAGAAGGCAAATGTACAGGAACTCACAACCTCTGAGGATGCCTGCCACAGATGCAGGCAAAACGTCAGGAGAGAATGCTTCTGGAACATGGCCATACAGCCCGAAAAACCTACAACAACCCAGTGATTCTGGCCATGAAAGCCTTTGACAATACATTGCTTTCTATCTTTTTGCCCCTCAAAAGCAATTAGGAAAACCCTTGAGGACTGATGCCCCATTAGCAGGGATGGCATACATTTTAATTAATTAGATGCATCAAACAAAGTCCATGGAAAGCTAATACCATGGGAAACTTTTAAACAATGGCCCCATCTACACTATATAATGCAGTTTGAAATTGCACTATATTATTATTATTATTAACTGTCCCCTGCCACGTGTTGCTGTGGCCCAGTCTGTGTATATGTGTTGTGTGTGTGTATATATGTGTGTGTATTTGTGTATATGTGTATATATATGTGTGTGTATATGTGTGTATATATTTGTGTATTTCTGTGTTTATATGTATATATGTATATTGTGTATATGTGTATATGTGTATATACTTGTGTATATGCATATATAATGCAGTTTGAAATTGTACATTATTATTATTATTATTATTATTATTATTATTATTATTATTAGCCATCCCCTTCCATGCATTGCTGTATGTGTGTGTGTATGTGTGTGTGCTTTAGGGGTCCCTTTCAAATCTATGATACTATATCTGTCATATACATATGTGTGTGAATCATATATGTCTATCTATATCTATAGCTATCTATCTATCTATATCTATGGCTGGATGGCTCTTTGTCAGGAGGGCTTTGGTTATGTTTTCTTGCCCTGGTGAAGGGAGTTGGACTGGATGGCCTTAAGGCAGCATTTCTCAACCTGGGGGTTGGGACCCCTGCGGAGGTCATAAAGGGGTGTCAGAGGGGTCATCAAAACCATCAGAAAACACAGTATATTCTGTTGGTCATGGGGTTGTGTGTGGAAAGTTTGGTTCAATTCTATCATTGGTGGAGTTCAGAATGCTCTTTGATTGTAGGTGAACTATAAATCCCAGCGACTACAACTCCCAAATGTCAATGTCTATTTCCCCAACTCCATCTGTGTTCATATTTGGGCATATGGAATATTTGTGCCAAGTTTGGTCCAGATTCATCATTGTTTGAGTCCACCGTGCTCTCTGGTTGAAGGTAAACTATAACTCTAAAACTCAAGGTCAATGCCTACAAAACACTTTTACTGTTTTCTCTTGGTCTTGGAAGTCCTGTGTGGCAAGTTTGGTCAATTCCATCATTGGTGGAGTTCAGAATGCTCTTTGATTGTAGGTGAACTATAAATCCCAGCAACTACAATTCCCCAAACTCCAGCAGTGTTCATATGGAGTAATGGTCACTGGTTGGCCTGAGAGGTGTATTGTGTCCAAATTTGGTGTCAATTCGTCCTGTGGTTTTTGAGTTCTGTTAATCCCACGAACAAACATTATATTTTTATTTATATAGATTATTATTATAGTTTTATTTCTTGTGGGCACAACATAAAACATTACATCCAATGAATATATTAACGCTTCAGCCTCTACTGCTTTTAAAAAGCTGTCCAAGGTGCTGAGATCCATCTCCAAAATAGGTTCAGCACCATGGATGCCTTGCATGCTTCAGGCTAAAACCTGAAATGCATCTACACCGTTGAATTAACATACTTTGGTCCCACCTGAATGCTATGGGATCATGGAGCATGTAGTTTGGTGAGGCATCAGCCTTCACCAGCAGAGAAGGCTGAAAGATTTTGGAAAACTACAAAAACGCCTTCCACATCCTGCAAAGCCCATCCCTGCACCCTGCAGAGAATGTACTGCAGGGAAGGGGCGGGGCCTGGGGGCGGGGCGTGAGCTTGGCCCCGCCCTCTCTGCTCATCTTACTCCCCCCTCCCCTTTCCTGCCTCAATCTGCAGGGAAGACGCAGCCACTCCTGGAGCCAGGTAAAGAAAGGGGGATAATAGTAAAATAATAATGGGGGCTTTCAGGAGGGCGAAAGGGTGGTCTGGCTGGGAGAGGGGCATGGAAAGAGGGGTGAAGTGGGGAGAGGTGGGAATGGAGGGGAAATAGGGAGTGGGGGAAGGCTGGAGATGGGAAGGAGCAGGAAAGAGAGATAGAAAGGAGAGAGAGGAAGGTGACACAAGAAGAGGGATGTTGGGAAGGAGGGGGAAAGAGAGAAAGGAAGGAGAGAGGGAAAGGTAGCAAAAAGAGTGAGATTTAGGAAAGGATGGGGAAAGAGAAAGGAAGGAGGGAAGGATGACAAAAGAAGGGGGATGTTGTGAAGAAGGGGAAGGGAAGGATAGGAAAAAAGAGAAAAAGGAAGGAAGGATGACACAAGTGGGAAATATGGCAAAAGATGGAAAAGGGAAGGGTGCAGTGATGGATAGAAAAAGAGAGGAAGGAAGGAAGGAAGGAATGACAGTGGCAAAAGAAGAGGGATGTTGGGATGGAGGGAATGATTGAGAAGGGAAAGAGAAGATGGATGAGAGGAAAAGAAAGAGAGAAGGAAGAGACGCATGGATAGATTGGTGCAAAGATGGGGAAAAGGAGGGATGTTGACCAGGAGGAAAGGATGGAGGAGAGAAGGGTAAGAGAGATGAGAGGAAAAGAGAGAAAGAAAGGAGAGAAGGATGGTGGCAAAAGAAGAGGGATGTTGGGAAGGAGGAGAGGATGGGATGGAGGAGGGAAGAGGAAGGTGGATGAGAGGAAAAAGAAAGAGAGAAGCAAGAGAGGCATGGATAGAATGATACAAGGAGGAAAGGTAATGGGGAAGGAGGGATGTTGGTCAGGAGGAAAGGATGGAGAAGGGAAGGGTAAGGTGGAGGAAAGGAAGGAGGGATAGTAAAAGAAGGGGGATTTTAGAAAGGAGGGAAGAATGGAGGAGGGAAGGGGAAGGTGGACGCAGAGAGGAAAAGAGTGAGAAGGAAGGAAGAGAGGCATGAATAGAGTGGTTCAGGGATGAAAGGAGATGGGGAAGAAGGAGGGATGTTGGGCAGGAGGAAAGGATGGAAGAGATGAAATAGAAAGAAAGGAGAGAAGGATGGTGGCAAAAGAAGAGGGATGTGGGGAAGGATGAAGAAGGTAAGAGGAAGGTGATGGGGAAGTAGGGGGGATGTTGCACAGGAGGAAAGGATGGAGAAGGGAAGGGTAAGATGGAGGAGAGGAAGGAGGGATGGCAAAAGAAGGGGTGTTGGAAAGGAGGGAAGGATTGAGGAGGGAAGGGGAAGGTGGAAGAGAGGAAGAGGGAAAAAGAAGCATGGATAGAGAAGTGCAGGAAAATGAGATGGGGAAGAAGGAGGGATGTTGAGCAGGAGGAAAGGGTGGAAGGGTAACATGGAAGAGAGGAAAGGGGATGAAGAAAGAAGGGAAGGACAGTGCCAAAAGAAAAGGGATGTTGGGAAGGAGGGAAGGATGGAGAAGGGAAGGGGAAGGTGGATAAGAGGAAAAGAGAGAGAGAAGGAAGGGGCATGGATAGAGTGGTTCAGGGAGGAAAGGAGATGGGGAAGAAGGAGGGATGTTGGGTAGGAGGAAAGGATGGAGGAGGGAAGGGTAAGATGGAGGAGAGGAAGGAGGGAAGGATAGAGGAGGGACGGGGATGGTGGAAGACAGGAAAAGAGATGGGGAAAGAGGCATGGATAGAGAGGTGCAGGAAAATGAGATGAGGAAGAAGGAGGGATGTTGAGGAGGAGGAACGGATGGAGGAGGGAAAGGTAAGATAGAAGCGAGGGATGGGGAGAAAGAAAGAAGGGAAGGACAGTGCCAAAAGAAGAGGGATGTTGGGAAGGAGGAAAGAGTAGAGAAGGGAAGGAGAGATGGATGAGAGGGAAAGAGAGAAGGAAGGAAGGAAGGAAGGAAGGAAGGAAGGAAGGAAGGGGCATGAATAGAGCAGTTCAGGGAGGAAAGGAGGTGGGGAAGAAGAAGGGATGTTCTAATACATGATGGCATCCCTCCTACCAAAGGTGGTGGAGGAGAAGGGCAGCTGCAGGGAAAGGCAAGAAAACAAGAGAAGGGGGTTGTATTAAAGGGTCTGCAGTCTTATAAACATGGTGTGTTGAGCTTGCATAGGATGTGGCCTTGGATGCCAAAGTGTCAAGGATGGCAGGGTTGAATGGGAAAAGGGAAAGGGATGGGGAAGGCAAAGAGAGCCAGATGAGTAGAAAGGAGAGATGGGGAAGAGGTCAAAACCATGCAAGGAGAAAGGGAAAGAATGGCGAAAGCCCAATCCCAGATCGACCTTGCCCCCCAAAAGGGAGCTTTGGGCATCTTCCTTCTGCCAAGGGGCAAAAGTTGACTCGCTTCTCCCTCTTCCTTGACCCACTTGGAGTTCCGCCTTGTGCTGCTTTCAAGGAAGAAGGAGACTGGGCTCTGCTTTTCAATACAAGGAAGGACTCTCCTTGAAGGACTCCTGGGCCCTTCCCTGCTTCTCCCATCTCCTTCCTCCTCTCTGTGTAGCCATGCCTGTACACACATGCAAACAATGCACCAACCACCTGGAAAGCGGAGGCGGAATGGCGCAGATTCTGTTTGGATCCAGTCATCACTCAAGGGGAGCCAATTCTGCGTGTCTGCTCTTGGAAGCCATGCTGGGCCAGACCTGGTTAGTCATTGGGTGGGAGGCTGCCAATGCATCCCAGGTGGGGTTGGCGCTATTTCAGAAAAGGGAACACAGGATTCAATTGTGGGTTAACATGTGTCAGAAGACGGCTTGAAGGAACATGCACAAGGACACCTGTATTAGGCTTGGAATACTGTGCCCATCCCCACGGGCTTTGAGGAATTTGTCGCAGTACTGCCATAGGGAGAAACGAGTGCTGGGGAAGCAGTAACCTGATCCGCTCATTCGCCTTCTCTGCTGTGTCCAAATGCCAGGGCACATCTGCCACGAATGCTGCAGTCTTTGCAGCATTTGCACTCACCCAGCAGGCAGCGGCAATGTGCTTTGCTTGCTATCAGCTCTGCTCCTTTTATATATATATATTTCTAGTTCCCTTTTGCAAGAGTTGACACCTTTGCCACTGGCTCCTTTTCTGCATCCAATGTTTGCCAAGTGTCATTGGGATTTTTTTGCTATGTAGGTATGCCCTAAGATGTAGATCTTCAGCATTAATAGAGGAAGATGAGGCAACAAGGAAGGATGGCAAGAGGCAGGGTGTTTTAGAGAGAGAGCCACCATTCAGAGCTAAGAGATAATAATTAATAGCTTCTATTTCTCTTTGGCATCAGAGGACCCTTGCACCAACAAAACTCCTTCAATGGCACCAACATGGTGCTTATGGAGAGAAAAAGCAGGGTATAAATAAACATAATAATAAGTTGGTTTTTTTGGTCGTGTCAGGAGCGTCCTGTTGTGAGAGAATTGGCCGTCTGCAAGGACGTTGCCCAGGGGACGCCCGGATGATTTTTGATGTTTTTTATCATCCTTGTGGGAGGCTTCTCTCATGTCCCCGCATGAGGAGCTGGAGCTGATAGAGGGAGCTCATCCACCTCTCCCCGGATTCGAACCTGCGACCTGTCGGTCTTCAGTCCTGCTGGCACAGGGGTTTAACACACTGCGCCACTGGGGGCTCCATAATAATAAGTAAATAATAATAATAATAATAATGGATCGTCAATATTGCAATCCCAGGTGACAGCAGGATTGCAGAGAAACAACTGGAAAAGATGACACGATATGAGGATTTAAAGATCGAACTGCAAAGACTGGCACAAGCCAGTTAAGGTGGTCCCTGTGGTGATCAGCACACTGGGTGCAGTGCCTCAAGACCTTGGCCTGCACTTAAACACAATCGGCGCTGACAAAATTACCACCTGCCATCTGCAGGCCACCTTACTGGGATCTGCACACATTATTCGCCCATACATCACACAGTCCTAGACACTTGGGAAGTGTCCAACATGTGATCCAATTCAACAGCCAGCCGAGTGTCTGCTGTGGACTCATTTTGTTGTGTTACTAATAATAATAATAATAATAATAATAATAATAATAGTTTGCTGTGACATACTGTGCTTTTGTATCAATAATAATAATAATAATAATAATGTCCTCTTTGTGCCATTTTTCCATTTTTGGGGGTCAGTCACAAAGGAACATAAGGTTGGCAAGGGCCCTCAATATCATCTAGACAACCTTTAGCTAGTGCAAAATGTGGCCATATTTTACTGGGAGAAGTGCAAATATTTTAGGGCTGTACCCATGCTCGCATGCTTGATGACCAAGATATTTCTCATTCACCTACTTATTTATTTATTTCCCCTATGTATGCCCTGCCTTTCTCAACCCCGTAGGGGACTCAAAGCAGCGTACATGTATACGCAACAATCCGATGCCTTGTAAATATACATGTAAATAAAATAAATATGCATATTAAATGTCATTAAAAACTTATCACACCATTAAGACACTTATTAAAATCATGTTATCCAAATTAATAATCCATGGCTGTTATTACACTATTCAATCATTCTTAAGTGCAGCGTTTCTGAACCTCGGGGTCGGGACTCCACCAATTCTAAACTCCACCAATTTGGGAGTTGTAGTTGCTGGGATTTATAGTTCACCTACAATCAAAGAGCATTCTGAACTCCACCAATGATGGAATTGGTGGAGTTTAAAATTGGTAGAGTCCCGACCCCTCTTTGATTGTAGGTGAACTATAAATTCCAGCAACTACAACTCCCAAATGACAAAATTAGTCGTTCCCCACAACCCCACCAGTATTCAAATGTTAGCTTATTGGGTATTTGTGACCAATTTGATCCAATGAATGAAACTACATCCTGCATATCAGATGTTTACATTGCAATTCATAACTGTAGTTATGAAGTAGCAACAAAAAATGTTATAGTTAGGGGTCACCACAACATGGGACTGTATTAAGGGGTCAAGGCATTAGGAAGGTTGAGAAACACTGCTTTAGTGGGTTACTAACCGAACCCTTCG